ATAGTAGTGTGTATATGTCAATCCCAATTCTTCCAATTTATCCCTCCCCACCCCCTTACCCCCGGGTAACCATAAGTTTATTTTCTACATCTGTAACTCTATTTCTCTTTTAAGATAAGTTCATTTGTACCCTTTTTTTAGATTCCACATATAAATGATATCATATGATATTTGTCTTTCTCTGTCTGACATAGGGAAGGAGCTTCTTGACATTGGTCTGGGCAATGTTTTTTTTTGTTTTTTAATTAAGGAACAGTTGATGTACAATATTATATAAGTTTCAGGTGTACAACATAATGATTCACAATTTTGAAGGTTATAGTCCCTTTATAGTTATTATAAAATATTGGCTCTATTCCCTGTGTTGTACTGTATATCCTGGTAGCTTATTTATTTTATACTTAGTAGTTTGTGCCTCTTAATCCCCTACCCCTATCTTGCCCCTCCCCGCATCCCTCTCCTCATTGGTAACCACTAATTTGTTCTCCATATTGGTGAGCCTGTTTATTGTTATATCCACTAGTTAGTTTTATTTTTCAGATTCCGCTCATAAGTGATATCATACAGAATTTGTCCTTTGGGTTTTTTTATATGACTCCAAAATCACAAAAAACAAAAATAAATACGTGGGATTGCATCTAACTTAAAATCTTCTGTACATAAAAGGAAACGATCAACAGAGTGAAGACACAACCTCTGGGATGGGAGAAGACATTTTCACACCAAACATCTGATAAGAAGTTAATATCCAAACATATATGGACCTTCCATAACTCAATAGCAAAAAATAAAATAAAATAACCTGATTTAAAAATGGGCAACAGGTATTATGAAAAGGTGTCCAACATCACTAATCATCAGAAATGTAAATCAAAACCACGATGAAGATTGGGATTGACATATACACACTACTCTGTATAAAATAGATAACTAATAAGAACCTACTGTGTAGCACAGGGAACTCTACTCAAAACTCTGTAATGACCTATATGGGAAAAGAATCTGAAAAAGAGTGGATATATGTACATGTATAACTGATTAACTTTGCTGTACACCTGAAACTAACACAACATTGTAAAGCAACTAAAAATTAATTAAGAAAAAAAACACAATGAGGTATCACCTCATATGTGTTAGAATGGCTATTATCAAAAATATAAAAGATAACAAGTGCTGGAGAGGGTGTGGAGAAAAGGGAACCTTCGTGCACTGTTGGTGGAAATGTAAATTGATGCAGCCACTACGAAGAACAGTATGGAGGTTCCTCAGGAAATTAAAAATAGAGCTACCAGCAACCCACTTCTGGTCCTGTATCCAAAGGAAGTGAGGTCAGGATCTCAGAGAGATATCTGCACCCTCATGTTCATTGCAGCATTGTTCACAATAGCCAAGATGTGGAAACAACCTTAGTGTCCATCAGTGGACAAACGAATAAAGAAGATGTGAGATAGGTAGATAGATAGACAGACAGAGACGGGAGTATTAGTCAGCCTTAAAAAAGAAATCCTGCCATTTGCAATAACATGGATGAATTTGGAGGACGTTATGCTAAGTGAAATAAGTCTGACAGAGAAACACAAATACTGCATGTTCTCACTTACATGTGGAATATAAAAAGTCAAACTCATAAAAACAGAAAGTAGAATGATTGCCAGGGACTGGAAGGTAGGCAGGAAGGAGGGATACTGGACAAAGGGCACCAAGTTTCAATTATGCAGGGTGAATAAGTCCTGGAGACCTAACATACAGCCTGGTGACTATAGTTAACAGTAGTGTTAGTGTGTCCTGGAAATTTGCTAAGAGATTAAATTTTAAGTGTTCTCACCAAAAAAAAAAAAAAAAAAAAAAAGTTACCTATGTGAGGTGATGGATATGTTAATTAGCTTGATTATGGTAAACACTTCACAATGTCTACGTACATCAAAACATCGCATGGTACAGCTCACATATACAGAACTTCCATTTGTCAATTATACCACAACAAAGTGGGGAAATGAAAAAAGAGAAGAGGTGCTCTTCTCACAATTCCATTCCCCACCAGGTCTGACTGTCAGATTTGGAATCCTTTCCCCCCTCTTTCTCAATGGCACTTTGTTCCTTTTAATTGAAATAAGATGGAAATTTCAGGAAACAGACAGAATCTGGTCAAAGTGGTTTTCATGCTTTTGCTCCCAATCGAATCAGCTCAAGTCTTGGGAGGGAGCATCCCCACGCCCTATAGCTCCGGGCCTGAGGGAAATGCTGCACAGACACCTCCCTGCTGCTCACTCGGTGACCAGGGAGTTTGAGGTTATCGCTCGCTAAGTCTAAAGTCAGGCCCTCATAACGAATACTAAGGAATGCTCAAGTAGGAGAGAATTCTGACCCTAGTCTTACTTCTCCAAGGCAGAAACTGTGACCCTGTGGTGAAATCCAGTTACAGCTTCCTCTTGCTTTATTTGGAAATGAAGGATTTTTCCCAACATAATTAAAAAAAAAAAATTCAAGAGGCAATATTCCTGAACAAGGGACCCTGAATAAAGAATTTGTAGATGTAATTTATCTGCCTCAGGATACAACATAGAAATGATGCAGTGAGGGCCTACCTTCCTAAAGTAATAGAATATTACTTTATTCTAATATTCTTTATTCAATATCTAAAGATTATTGGCCATACATTGGCTGGTAGCAGCTATTCCCATGAAAAAGTAAAATCATTCTACTGTAGTGCCAGTTGCTCAGGCCACATTGGGGATTTTCTTAGCTATCCCTGATAATAGGACCCCACAAGTGGAGTGCCAGACTTCCTGGCTCAAGTAGGAGGTGGCAGCCGGGATAAAATGGCCCTGCCATTAAATGTGCACTGGACACACAGCTGCTGGGTACCTGGGGCCTCAGCAGGCTCTGTATGAGGAAGGAGAAGGATTAAACCAAGCCTGGCCTCCCCAGGGTTCACTCCCAGCTCTTCCTAACGTGGCGCTTCAGCCACCTTAATGAATGAATAAACTCAGCTACCTAGATATATACTCAAAACTAAAAGCAAAACAAAACAAAACCCTGATATCATGAATGAGTGTGCGTTGACCATGGCTTTAGTTATCTGCATAAAGTCATCTGCGGAGATTTAGCCCGCGGGTAGTTTTAAGTCAGTGTAAGTAAGCAGCCATGATATTGGAGATTTATTTCCCATGATGAGAAATATTTGTGGGTTACTTAGTGCAAAATAACAGAAGGAGAGAATGATGTATCTCTACTAGGCATTTCAGAAGTGCAGTGTATCATCACGTGCTCTAACTGAAGAAACAGACATTTGCCTGAAACTTGAAACAAAAATGCCATTTTTCTAAATTTGATAACAGTTTTTATCTTGGGACGTGGGAGGATGGGGAGTGGCTTAGGACTACTTTGTACACTCAACACGTCTGTGATGTTTAGAGACTTTAATAAAAACCATGTATCACTTTTATAATTAAGCAATTATAACAAAAATCAAGTAATAAATATTGTTCTACATCATAAATGCTGACTCAACCCTTGTTTAAAAACAAGAGAGAGATTCAGAAAAAAACAAAACAAGAGAGGGAAATTTTTTTTTTTTTGGCAATACGCGGGCCTCTCACTGTTGTGGCCTCTCCCGTTGCAGAGCACAGGCTCCGGATGTGCAGGCTCAGCGGCCATGGCTCACGGGCCCAGCCGCTCCGCGGTATATGGGATCTTCCCGGACCGGGGCACGAACCCGTGTCCCCTGCATCGGCAGGCGGACTCTCAACCACTTCACCACCAGGGAAGCCCAAGAGAGGGAAATATTTTTAAAGGAAAACAAATCAAAAGTGATAAACTCAGTGCCTGCCCCTATAGAGGGGCAACAAGGTGACTGTGACAGGTCTGCTCCAGAGGTGCTTTCTTCTGACAGAGTCCAGTGGTTTCTCAGTCTGTGACCCACATTTAATGAGCCTCTTTAGTTGACCTTTCCCAGGGTTCAACTCACAACTCTTCCTAGATAATCTCAAAGCCCTCCTGCTGGAGCAAGTGTTATTTTCTAGGCAGCTCTCACCAAAGGGCAGCCTAATAATTAACAAGCTTCAGATCCAGAGGCTTCAGGGTCTCATTTCTGGCAAAGGATGTATGTGCCACACACAGTAACCCTGTCAAAACTTGCTGTCTTGTAAGGAGATTTTGACATTGTAACAAAAGAACTCAGTATCCTCCTAAATACCAACTTCTCCTTCTCTGAAAACAACTCTTAAGGGCTCAGGGATTATGTCACTCCTTGCAGCAAAATGAGGGTCTGTTTTCTGTGAAACTGTGAAGCTGTGTTTTCAGGGTTCGCTCTTTCATTTCAGATATTTCACATGTTACCAGGTTCTAAGGTCAATTGCACTATACAGTCAGCTCTCCTTATCTGCAAGTTCCACATCCACAGATGCAACCAACCGTAGATCGAAAATATTTGAAAAAAAATTCCAGAAAGTTCCAAGAAACAAAACTCGAACTGCATGCCAGCAACTATTTACAAATCATTTACACTGTATTAGGTATTATAAGTAATCTAGAAATGACTTAAAGTATTTGGAAGGATGTGTGTAGGTTTTATGTAAACACTACTCTATTTTATATAAGGGACTCGAACATCTGAGGATTTTGGTGTCCATGGGGTCCTGGAACCAATCTCGAGGGACTGTGTATTCCAGACAAGGGGATCTGTAATTCAGCCTGCATATTTAGAATTAAAACAGACTCCTAAACTTGCAAAGCTTTAGAGACTTGAAGAGGAATAGCATTCCATGATAGGAAATACAATGTGCATGATAGGAAATACAATAGCATTCCATGATAGGAAATACAATTCCGATGTTCTACGGGTTTAGCTTGATTTGGAGAAAAGGCGATGTTAACTTCAGACTTTAACAACCAGATATTTTAGATGAAGTGCCTGCATGTCCGGAAATATCCACAGAGCTTGCTGCTGTGGTTTGATCCGTAATACCTCTCTCTGACATGTGCCTCATTTGATGTTTTAGGAGTTTGTGATGATCGTTGTCTTTGGTTTGGAGTTCATCATTCGAATCTGGTCTGCAGGCTGCTGTTGCCGGTACAGAGGATGGCAAGGAAGACTGAGATTTGCCCGGAAGCCCTTCTGTGTTATAGGTGAATATCAAAGTCCTGGATACCTAGATTTATGACACCGCATCCTTTTCTTCGTCTGTTTCTGGTATCGCAGCATTTAGTTAATGTTAAAAGCTAACATTCATGGATTATTCACCATGGGCCAGCAATCTCGTGTTTTGAACGTGCTGACTCATTTAATCCTCTTCATAACATGATGAGGTAGGTATTTTTATTATCCGCATTTTAAGATGAAGAAATTGGGGCACAGAGAGGTGAAGTGAGTCGCTGAAAGTCATGCAGGTAGTTAGTGGTGGAGCTGGGATTTGAGCCAGATGGTCTGGCTCTAAAATACCAACTTGTGTCAGGTTAAGTTATGCTGGAATACATGGTTCTCGAGTGTCGCCCTGAGTTTGGGAGCATTGATTTCGCTAAGTGTAAAGACCCCTTTTTGCTCTACAGTGTAAGCAATACCCCTTTTATGCTCTTGATCTGCTGGGACGTATAAGTGTAGTTGTCCGGGTAAAGCATGTTAATGAGCATGCCTCAAGAATAATTACAAGTATGTTTATGCACTGTAACTGTTAGACCTGGTAAAGTGTTTATCCTCTGAAATTTGAGTCCCCACCCTACAGTCCCCGAATAAATATCACATCCCTGCAGCTCCCTGGCTGCTGTCCTTTCAAAGAGATTCCATTCACCTGGGTACCAGCCTGAAATTATAAAACATTCCAGAGTTAAGATCTGGCACCTCCAAGTAATATACTTAAAAGTGGATCATAAAATTGAAAACCTTAGTCAATTATATCTCAATTTTCAATTAATCGATTAATTTTTTAAGTAAGTTGTCTACATCATGGCCCTTTATTCCTAAATATTTCAGTGTGGGTTTTCCAAAATAAGGACATTCTTTTACCTCACCTTCCATAAATTGGACTTTAACACAATACCTTAACTAATCTGCTGGTTGTATCGCGGTTTTGCCAGTTGACCCAATAATGTCATTTGTAGCATTTTCCCTCCAGGGTGGGACCCAGTCTGGGTCACAACTGTGTCTGGTCATCACGCTTCTTTGGTCTCATTCATCTAGAACCGTTCGTCAGCCTTTCTCTGTCTTTCCCAACACTGACATTTTTGAAGAATTTGGCCTATTTTTAAGAAATATAATGTTATTCCTTTGGGGAAAGAAAAAGAAAACCCTGTATACAAAAGCTTGTTGTTATTGTTGATGTTGTAGTTGCTGCTATTATTCAACAGCTACGTTTGGTTTTCTTGCTCTTTTTTCCTTCCCACTTCTTTGGTAGCCATTCAAATCCAAATGCTGAAAGTTCTCGGTGAGGTTTACTTAATTTCAACTATTTCCAGTCTGAGAAAGTGGGGTTTTTATTTACAAGCTAGTTTAGACTAAGCTCTTCATCAGCATCTGGTTTGCCATTTTGTTTCAGGAGTTGGGAATTGTTGAGCACCTTTAGTTTCCTCCCTAACCCCTGTTCCTTAAGGAGGAAGTGGAGAAACCCCCTCCACGGGGACTGTAAGAGGAACCCAAGAGGAGCCCATCTTTCTTTCCAGTGCGGTGTGAGTGGCGCGCGTCCTGGGCACAGGGAGGCGGGAGGGCTCCCCACACACATGCACGTTTCCGGAGCCACTGTTCCTTCAACCAGACGTTATGGACATGGGGCTGTGCGTGAAGCCCTGCGGTTGCCGCGGTGAATCTAGTGCAATTCTAAGTTACATCAACCTTGAAACATCTTGTTTGGCCTTCACTAACGCAGTGTGTTTGTCCGGCTGCCCCTCTTCTGCCAGAGGGGCGTGGAGGAAAGTGGGCGCCAACGCCCAGCCTTGAGGGTCCATCCAGCCCCCCGGCGGGCCCACCCAGCTCTGCGGGTCCACCCAGCCCCTCGGGTGCATCAGTGAAGACACTTGATTTTCCTCTGGAGGTTTTTCCTCTTTTTTAATTCCCTGCTCAAGCTACACCACAAAACACTGTAACTCGATGTGGAATTATGGCACAAGAACTTCCTGTCCTATGAGGGACCCAAACAAAACCATTCACAAGGCAGATGGTTTGGCCAGGGCTCACTCAGCTTCTACAGGATAAGGTTGGTTCACGGATGACTGCAGGAACGTTCCATTCCAGGCTTTAAAACCAATTTAAAATTGGTTTTATTCCAATTCCAGAGGCAATGCCAATGTATTTCTGGCTCCTAAGCTAAAAAGCAGATTCTTTCCCAGACGCCTGCTGCCCTTTGATAGCTGTTCTCAGCTACGGATACATCAGCATAACTTAGTCCTTTAATCTTTCTCTTCCTGTCTCGGATCCATTCAGGTCTTGGTGTAACGCATGGTTCTGAAGACGACGTCGTCGTCTGTAACTTAGCCACCTTTGAGCCTGTCAACTGTGACCTTACAGATTTAGTGTGACATGGTTTAGGTGTGGCTGGAGTTTAGTTACCTCTTCAGGCCTTTTCTTCATTTGGATATTTGACCTCTAGTGAATCTATTGCTTTGGAAGAAAATTTCACGGATAAATATATAATGAATCCCCATTAGAACAAAAACAAGATTTGTACTTACATTTAGGATAACTATGCACTTTTCAGTCTTTTTTTTGAGGTACGTGTAATGGTTTGATTCATGGTCCAGATGAAGCAGTGAAATAGTGAAACATGTTCAAACGTGGGTCTTGAGGATGAGGTCAGTAAGATGTAACCTACACAGAGGAACCGAGGTCACCTGCCTGACGGCGGCAGGCCGTAGCACGTGGCTGCTGGGGCCCTTTCTAGGCCTGCTTAATAGGCCCATAAAAAAATGATTGATGTCAGGGGTTAAACGATAAAGCAAAATGTAAAGTGAACCCTGGATTTCCCTTGTTGTGCCTAATTTACCGTGGCAACATGGACAAAGAAGTAGCATCTCCCTCATCTGTCCATGACAACTGTTGTGAGTTTGGAAATGTAGCGAACCTCTCTCAAGACTCCATGTATCTGTAAGATTTGGCTACTCTGAACATGCCAAATACACACCCAACACTTTTAGAAGTCTTGAGCATTCAAGAAAGGATCCAGAGAAGACTGGTAGCCTGGCTGTGCCTGCAGCGCAGGGAGTGCTTTCTGGAAGCACCCCTGTGTTGCTCTCTCCAGCTGAAACAGACCAAAGCTACTACAGCCATCACCTAGCGAGCCCTGCAGACCAAATGTTAGTGTTTGGACACAAGGTGATAGAGGCCCACGAGCTGATTCCCAAAGACTGCAGAACTTCCCCTCCTGACCTGCCTACCCCTCCACCCCTGCACTGGAGCCAGAACCAGGGCATTTCCAAATATTGTTGATTTGAGAAATCATAAAATCATTATATTCTTGGGTTTGAAAAACATATTTTAAACAACTGTAACCTAAGGGAAGAAAAAAAATCTGTTCAACTGTTTTTTAATTAGATGCTCTCTTTCACTACCATGTTGATTTATCTCTGCTTGATTTGAGGAGTTTGCTTTGAAAATTGGTAAAAGCTTATCTTGAATTACAAAATTCTTCCTTATACCTATGCGTTCAATTTACATCTCTCCCCTAAGATGCTGTTGAAATAACATTTCTACATACATCTGGGGGCCATAATCACTGCCCTACGACTGGGAGAGTCAAGTACATTTGGGGATATTTAATGAGCTGCCCTCATTTACCTGGACTCGCTGCTTTCTGATTTCTGTACATTCAAACACAACTCATTCACTCGTGACCTCAGTATTGAGAACGTGTGAAATAACCTCGAAGACTGAGTTCACAGTCACTCCTTTTCTAACTTCCGTAAATGACCTACCTGAAAGTTGCAAACCGTACCAAAGGCTGGTGCCTAGATCACGATGATGAGCCTGATCTGTCAGGAGGCCAACCAATTTCCTGTAGCTGCGGCTTTTCTGGATGCCCCAGTGACTCTGTCTAGAGACATATGTAACAGGGCCATACTTCTCAGTCTTGCAGTGCATTTCAGGGAAGCAGAAAACACCAGCCTGTGGTTAATCGTGGATCTGTATTTGATGCTAAATATAAGTCAGTTTTTAATTGCTATTTTAGCAGTTCTCCTTCAGTGTAATATTTCCACAAGAGGACGAAAGAGGCAAACCTCAGCACGGATATTTCACCCTGAATGGAGCATATATGCCTTTGACATGAGATAACAGTCACTCCTGAAAATGCCAACAAGTGTATTTTTTTAATGAGAAGAAAATAACCAGTGTCTTCTTTGGTTAAAACAAAATTGCAGCCTTTATTAAAATCAACCACACAGCCAAGGCCACTCTAATATATCTGTGAGTTCATCCTATTAAAAGGAAGCTTCAGCTGCTAATGTGTTGGAAAGCTGTATCAGAGACTCTCAGACTGCCACTGGCTCTGAACTGAAGATTGAGACCCCATTTTTCTACCTCTCCAGGTTCTCCCTCTTTGGTTCCAAGAGACATACTCTTCCACTGCATCATTTTCTACACCTTCTAATCTCCTCTGCCCTTTAGTAGAAGTTATGTTCTCTTGGGTTATTTCCTGTCAGTTGTATACTCTTCTGTTTCTCTTTCCATCTAAGTGTTCAAACTCTGGTGCATGTGGTCGCCTCCATATCATTAACTGGACCATCTGAGGACCATTGAACCCTGTTGGGTTGATTGACCACAGAACATTAGAGCCATTTCAGTCCTTCTAATTAATAAGAGCTGATATTTATTGAGACTTGCTACGTGATGGGTACTGCTCTTGAACTCTATAAATATTGTCTTATTTAATCCTACATGAGTTTTATAATATCCTTCTTAAGGATGAGGAAGTAAATAAGCTAAGGCTTAAGAAACTTGTCCAAAGTTAGAAAGATGGTGAATGAAAGAACCAGGATTTCAGTCTGGGAAAGTATACCTACCTGATTAGCTGTTTTCACTCACACTTCTGACACTTAACGTGTGGCGGTTTTTCCTCACACCAGCCAATTCGCCAACTTTCCGGACACCAACTTGGTGTTCAATAACTCAATACAATCCTGACCCTAACAACTGGTATTAGCAC